ATAAGTATAAGCTGCCCCCTATTCCGCTATATGATGGAAGGAGTGATCTGGATGACCACCTGGAAGTCTACACAGGGCACATGATCTTTCACGGGTACCCCGAGGAGGTCATGTGCAGGGAGTTCAGAAATCATCTTTCTGATTCTGCCAGGAGATGGTTTAGGTCCTTAAAACCAAACTCCATTACTAGCTGGGATGACTTGAAGAATGCCTTCCTCACTTAGTTCATAGGTGTCAAAAAGTACATCCCACCCAAGCAAAACCTTTCGAGGGTGTATCAGGGACCAAACGAGTCCCTCAAAGATTGGATAGCCCGATTCGGGGAGCATGTAGCTGCCACCGAGGGGATCTCTGATGAGGTGGCTTTGATGGGGGCCCTGTCAAGCATGAAGAAAGACGTCCCGTACAGCACATACCTCGACCGGAGGCCACCATAGACCTACCAAGAATTTTTGACAATGGCACAGGGATTCATTAATGCAGAGGAGGCCAAAAAGACCTTAAAGAGTAAGGTGGTGGTCCCCACCAAAGAAGAAGTAGGACAGTCGAGCCATCAAAACAACGACAAGAAGCGTTGAGATAATCCTCAGGTGCAAACGAAGCAAATGTATAATCCAGCCCCAAACAACAAGGGTAACAACGCCTCGACAGGGCAGGGGGATACCAAGCGACCCAAGCCACAAAAATACGACACCTACACCCCTTTAACCATGGGGATCGATGACGTTTATCATGAGATTAATCACCTCCAGGTACTGCGTCGCCCACCACTGCTCAAGTCTGACCCAGCGCGGAGAAATGAAAACAAGTATTGCAGGTTTCATGGCGAGAGCGGACACACGACCACTGAATGTTTTGATTTGAGAGATGAAGTCGAGAGGCTGATCCGGGAAGGGAGGCTCATTGAATACCGAGTCGACCGACGGAGCAACAACAATCAGCGGAACTATGACTGATAGGAGGATCAAAGGCAAGAATATCCGCCCGAACCTGTCGGTGTGATAAGGTGGATCTTTGGAGGGCCATATATCAGCGGTACCTCTCGCCGCGCACAGAAGGAGTATGCAAGAGAGGCAAAGGAAAAGTTCAACCGGAGGGTCATGAGTGTGTCCAGTAGAGGAGTGAAGGCCGCGAGATATGAAGAGGCTGAGATAACGTTTTCAGAGGCGGACGCAAATAGAGTGCATTTCCCTTAAAATGATGCTCTAGTCGTGGAGGCCATGATCGGTAACCACACGGTATGCCGCATCCTGGTTGACAACGGCAGCTCGGTAGACATTCTGTATGCTGACTGCCTTGGCAAGATGGGAATCCCCCGAACGAGATTGCAGAATAATACACAACCCCCATACGGCTTCACCGAGGATTGTGTCATCCCTGAGGGGATAATAGAACTACCAATGACAATTGGTGACTGAACATATACCTCGATCGTCATGTCAAAATTCTTAGTGGTGAAAGGAGGTGACCAGTATAATGCAGTCATACGGCGGCCAACACTGATAGTATTAAAGGCAATAACGTCGATCTATCATCAAATGATGAAATTTCCAACTGCCAACGGGATTGGAAAAGTCAGAGGAAACCAGTATGATTCGAGGCTCAGATACTCAGAGACGGTCCGCCATTACGCTGAGTCGGGGCAGGTGATTAATGCCCAAACGTGATATTCACAAGCGGTCAATTGTAGCACAGAAGGGCGGTCGTATCCACAGAGAGATAATAAAATAACAAGAATGATTAACATAATAAGAGCGTTAGAGAAAAGTGAATAAAAGAAAAATTAGAGTTTTGGGGATTTTTGTTGCAAATAAAATAGAAATGAGGGAATTTGTATGAAGAAAATTCAATAATAAAAACGGCAAGGTGTCGAGAATTCCTAATGCTTCGTTCACCAATTCAAGTTTTGATTCACAAAATAAAAGAATCGAATAAATTAAATCTCCATGTTGACTCCGAAAATATTATTATTACAAGTTATCCAAAATCAACAATATATCAATTTGACAATATTGCAGTAAAAGACAATTTATAAAATAATTGAAATAACAAAATAATGCGTGACATAATTACATAAGAAAAGCGTGACTAAACTTATATAAAAATTGGCACACAATATTTTGAAAAGTAATAGAAAAATAGATGAGATTTAATTCATTAAGATATTGAACTTTACAGCACAAGGAATCAAAACTCTGAATTGGATCGCTCAATAGAAGTTCATCTCTAACCTCACCAAGAGAACTCTAGCCTAGCTTGCAAAACATTCTCACAAGTTCTAGAGAGAAAATATGAAACTGACACCAAGACGACAAAAAACTGAATATTCAAAGCTTCCAAAAACCTAAGGCTAACCCCTTTATTTATAGTGTTTAGAGGTTGCCTGTCAAATAAGGAAATAAATAGTAAAACTGGAAAATTACAAAAGAAAAGGAAACAAAATAAAATTACACATAAATTAGGAGAAATCATATATTTGATTTGGGAAGAAATCTGGTAATTTTCTCTGATATTTGGGGAAGGAATTCAGATTCAGCACAGGAGGGACACGTGTCAAAGCTTGGTTGGAGGAAGGGAACAGAGCTGCCACGTGTCGCGTGCGGAGTGGAGGAAGTCTGCTGGCGTTGGAGACAGCTGGGACCCGCTTGACAGCTGGCGCGGTTTCACTGGAAGCTCAGGCTGGGCAGACGTGGGACCCACGCGAATTAAGCCTTGGACGCGTGCTGACGTTTGTGTGGAAGTTACGTGCGCGCTGAGAGGAGGCGTGCTAGTGACGCGCACGAGGAAGAGTCGGGAATAGAGGAAGGGCTGGGGCCCACGCGGAGGGAAAAGACAGTGGCTCGGCTCGGCTCGGCTGACGCGGCTCTCCCTCTAGCTCGTGTGGCTCGGCTGAACGGCTTAAAAATATGGCTTTCATGGCTTCTTCTTGTGTAGCTTTTTACACTGCTTTCATCAGTAAATAATTAAGCAAAAACTAGACATATTCCAATTAAAAATATTGTTACAAAGAAAATCTGGGTCTCAACTCGCTTAGTGACCTTAGTATTTCAAACAAACTATCAGTAAGAAATCAAAAGATACTATCAAGATTATTTCAGTCATAACTCCAGAGTCGTGTGTGTGTGCTCCAAACCATAACCTTCTTTCCACTGACCATAACACATACAGTTTTGCAAAATTCACCAAGTAAAAGTCTCAACTCCATTGATCTCAGGGGTGTCAGAAATATTTGAGTGTAAAGGTTTTCTCTCATGGAGTTGGAAGCGGAACAATCAACGCTCAGTGTGAGGAAGGTCAAATTTAGGACAAACAGTCAAACGAACATTGACCAAAAGATAGGTTAATCAACTACTAGAACATTCCACCATACTCCTTTTTTTCTTCTTCTTTTTTTTTTGACAAGAGACAACCTGCAATAATGAGGTGAATGTAAAAAGGTGTTCTTTTGACAAACAACTATATAGCATCAAATGTGATTACGATCAAACTACATGATCTGTGAAATGTTGCTCTTGCTCATTTTTTTTCATTTTTTTTTTGAAAAATAAGAAATGAGGCTCTATTACATAAGATCATTCCTATCTAACCCAAAATCCATCCCTCAAGCATATGCACCAAGCATACCACTAACCATGTAATGATGTTCTAACAGTGATTTTACCAGCTCAAAAGATCAATGAAGGTTCAAAAGTCGTTTTCTCTACTCACCAAAAATCAAGCACTTAAACTCGAAAATTTTCTCAGCGGACATGCATTAAGATCCATCTTACCACAAGGTTTAGCACGTGCAAAAAGAAACTCTGGAAGTCATTTCTTTGTAACCAAGATAGCAAAAATTGACCCAAAGTAATCATTTTGAATCATACTCAGACAAATTTGTAAAAATTTTAACCCAAATATCAACATGACAAAAATCACTCTTATGCATGAATATGCTCACCACCCCCAACCACAATTAGATAGTGTTCTCAGTGTCAAAAATTATGAAAATATAGAGAAAGAAGACATTTGGACAATGAGCATTCCACATATGAGCACAGATTGAGCTTCCGGATATGATTCTCTAAAAACACACACATAAAAAAATGTAAAAAGAAACGAAGAAAATAGAAAATGAAAATATAATACAGGAGATGTGAGCAAACTACTCAGGGCTGGTAAACGGGGTCGTCGAGAATGATCTCTTCAACCTGGTTCACCCGCTCTAAGTAATTTTTCAAACGCTGGGCATTTACTTTGAAGATTCTCCCATCAGTCGGGTCCTCAACCTCGACAGCACCATTGGGAAAAACGCGTTTTACTAAGAACGGGCCAATCCGCCATGACCCCAACTTACCGGAGTGGAGATGCAAACGGGAATCATAGAGATGAACCCGTTGATTTGGCTCGAAATTCTTCCTTAGGATCTGCTTATCATGAGTCACTTTCATTTTTACCTTGATCCTAGAATTGCGCTCTTTCAGTATGTCGATCAATCATTGTTTTTGCAATGGATCAAGTTTAGATGAGATGATGACTGGGAATGTGTCTTCATCTCCCAATAATGCATCTTTTAAGCCCTCAGGTGGTTGGGCTAGCTTGACTTTTGGAGCCTCCTCGGTGGATGATTTCAGTTTTTATCCTTCTATTAGGAGCTCCTAAAAACATGGTGGCCCAAACTTGGTTCCTCTATCTTGTGATTCTTTGAAAATGGCAGAAATGGTGGCCACCTCACAAGGATCAGAACTCTCAGATTCAGAAATTTGGAGGAGATTTTCAAGATCTTCAGAGTTGCTTTGTGCCAGAACCTCCTCCTTGACAAGTGTGTCAATCATAAATGTTTGGTGACACTCGTCGTCATCACATGGTTACTTTTGAATATGAAAAATATTCACCTCAAGGGTCATATTCCCAAAAGATATCTTCATGAGACCATTCCTACAATTGATAAGTGCGTTTGCTGTGGCAAGGAAAGGTCTTCCTAGAATGATGGGAATGGATGACTCCATATTCACCACAGATTATGTATCCAAGACAATAAAGTCCACGGGGTAATAAAACTTGTCGATTTGTAATAGAACGTCTTCTACTATTCCCCGTGGTCTCTTAATGGATCTATCGGCCAGTTGCAGAACCACAGATGTGGGCTTAATCTCTCCAAGACCCAATTGCGAGTAGACCGAATAAGGCATGAGGTTCACACACGATCCTAGGTCTAGTAACGCTTGGCCGAATTCATGTGTCCCGATCTGGCAAGAAATGGTAGGACAACCTGGATCTTTATACTTCGGCGGTGTCTTCTGCTTAATCACCACGCTCACTTGTTCCGTCAAGAATGCAATCTTCTTGACGTGGTGCTTTCTCTTTATGGTGCACAGATCCTTGATAACTTTGGCGTAGGCCGGCACTTGCTTGATCACGTGTAGTAAGGGAAGATTGATCTTCAATTGTGTCGAGTGCTCCAGGATCTCACTTTGATTTTCCGGCACTTTTCCAGCAGGTCGGAGAGCTTGGGGGAAAAGGCACCTTTACCGGAATTTTAGTTGGATCTTCTTTTTCCTGAGCCGATTCTTCATTACTCAAAGTGGTTGTACTTGTCGATGGTGTGTCTAAATTCTTAGCACTTCGAGTAGAGATGGGGTTAATTTCCTTGATATTTTGACCTTCAGAGTTGGAAGTTTGAGCCATGTGTTGTCCTCTCAAATTGGACTGGGCTTGTGATGGAAATCTACCGCGCTCCTGAACGGTTAAAGCTTCTGTCAGCTTTGTGATCTGACTTTTGATTTCCTTGTTCTCTTCCACCAGCTGTGTGAGCATCGAATCAACCTTTTGATTCGTTTTATTTTGCGCGTCCATAAAAGCTTTTAGGGTATCCTCTAGAGAATTCCCTTTCGGTTGCATGTTATTCTGAGGCGCAAAATATGTCCTTGGTGGTTGAGATTATTGCTCTGATCTCCATTGCCCTCCAGATGATTGTGCATGTTGGTTCGAATCTCGCCAACTGAAGTTCAGGTGGTTTTTTCAACCAGGATTGTAAGATTCTGAGAAAGGTCCGTAAGGCTTCTTGTATGTGCCCAATGCATTGCACTGCTCCTCATATACCCCTCTCATTTCACTTAAAGTGTGGCAATCCAAAGTTAGGTGCCCATTCCACCACAAACTAAACAAGGCTCATGTGCCTCTGTCCTTGCCACCATGTAGGGTCCTTTACTATCTTTACTTTTAAACGCCTCAATTTGCTTCGTCAAAGCTTCAACTTAGGCCTTGAGGCTGTCCTCTTCCCTTAATTGATAAACTCCAACTGGTCGAGACCTACTGGTGCTCTCAGTAGCACTCGGTCCAGTCCAAGTATGAACTTTCTCAGCTAACTCATTCAGGTACTCGATAGCTTCGTCGGGATCCTTTTAGAGAAAATCCACATTGCACATCATCTCAACTAATTGGCGCTCTCGGATTGTGAGTCCATCGTAGAAATAGCTTATGAGGCACCAATTTTCATATCCATGGTGGGGACACAGATTTAACAGATCTTTAAAACGCTCCCAAGCTTGATAGAGAGTTTCGTTTTCCTTCTGAGCGAAATTCAAGAGCTGTCGTTTTAAATTATTAGTCTTATGGTGTGGGAAATACTTGTTGAAGAATGTCGTCGTTATTTCTTCCCACGTACCAATAGACATGGGCCTAAGAGAATACAGCCAGCTTTTGGCATTGTCCTTCAGAGAGAAAGGGAAAAAGTGCTCTCAGTAGCACTCGGTCCAGTCCAAGTATGAACTTTCTCAGCTAACTCATTCAGGTACTCGATAGCTTCGTCGGGATCCTTTTAGAGAAAATCCACATTGCACATCATCTCAACTAATTGGCGCTCTCGGATTGTGAGTCCATCGTAGAAATAGCTTATGAGGCACCAATTTTCATATCCATGGTGGGGACACAGATTTAACAGATCTTTAAAACGCTCCCAAGCTTGATAGAGAGTTTCGTTTTCCTTCTGAGCGAAATTCAAGAGCTGTCGTTTTAAATTATTAGTCTTATGGTGTGGGAAATACTTGTTGAAGAATGTCGTCGTTATTTCTTCCCACGTACCAATAGACATGGGCCTAAGAGAATACAGCCAGCTTTTGGCATTGTCCTTCAGAGAGAAAGGGAAAAACTTCAATCTGACGGTATTTGTGGCCTCAGCACGGCTGTGAAAGGTGGCCACCACCTTTTCAAACTCCCAGATGTGGAGATAGGGGTTCTCGTTCTCTAACCCGTGAAAGGTTGGGAGAAGTGCAATCATGTCCGGCTTGAAATCCGTAAGTGGTGCATTTGGCGGGAACATGATGCACGATGGGTGGCCGTGCGCGTTGGGTGCAGATAATCTTGCAACGTCCTCTGCTGAACTTCCTCGTGTTGTGCCATTGTGAATAGATTTTCAAATGCGAATTCCAACGATGAGTGTGAAGACGGAGGTGTAGAAGACGAGTCGGATAGAATTTCACTAGGGGTTTCTAGGTCTGGACGTTGAGCAAATCTGCCTAGTTCGTCTCTATATCGATGCATTCACCCTAAGCGATTTTTTTTTATTTTTTTAATTTTTTTAATTTTTTGTTTTTTGTTTTTTTGTTTTTATTTTTAATCAAAGCAAAAGAAAATAACTATATAGTAACGTAAATTGTAACCATCGAGAGTGCTCCCAGGAAAGACTATAGCTCTTGGGTCAATGAATAGTCTCCTAGACAGAGCAACATTCCTAGAAAAAATTGGTGGGGCAAGGCCTACTTAAGTACCAACTTTCCTAGACAGAACTCCCTCAGATTGTACTTTTCACGTAACCACACAATTATCCTCAAAATCAATTATTAAATTTAATTGAATAAATTATGAAATGAAATCTAATTAATGGAAACTATTCCTAAGGTCAAAAGCCTACATCTATCAAATTATAAAATTCCTATATTTAGATTAGTCAATTAATTACAATCCTAATTATAATTCTAAGAATTAATGTAAACTATAAAAGGAAAAATTAAATTAGGCAACAATATAATAATTAACAATTAAATTATACAAATATGGAAACAAAATAAAATCCTAACTTATAAAAAAATAAAAGATTACAAAATCAAATCACGATTAATTTTAAAACTAAAAGGGAAAATAAAATGAACAATTAAAACAAATCCTAAAAGTGAGGTTTTTTTTTTTTCGTTTGGCAACAAAACTACGAAAAATAAAAAAAAATGTAAAGGTAAGCAATACTAAAAAGAAGAAAACACGTTAACTTGCAATACTAAAAGGGACGACAAAAGAAAAAAAAAATGCAGCAACTATTAGATTAACTAACGTGAATGAAAACACGTTAACTTGCAGCCAACTTCCTTTTTTTTTTTTTTTTTTTTTTTTTTAAAAAAAAAAAAAAAAAAAAAGTTTTTTTTTTTTTTTTTTTTTTTTTTTTTTTTTTTAATAAGGCTAAAAACAAATCACGCAAATCAAGAAAAAGAAATTGAGTAAAATAAAAAAAAATGCATTTACCTCTTTGGCTCAAAAATCTACTAATAAGTCTTGCTAGTAGCACCTCCCCGGTAACGGCGCTAAAATTTGATTAACGCCCAAAAGTAATATTCACAAGCGGTCAATTGTAGCATAGAAGGGCGGTCGTATCCACAGAGAGATAACAAAATAACAAGAATAATTAACAGAATAAGAGCGTTAGAGAAAAGTGAATTAAAGAAAAATTAGAGTTTTTGGGATTTTGTTGCAAATAAAATAGAAATGAGGGAATTTGTATGAAGAAAATTCAATAATAAAAACGGTAAGGTGTCGAGAATTCCTAATGCTTCGTTCACCAATTCAAGTTTTGATTCACAAAATAAAAAAATCGAATAAATTAAATCTCCATGTTGACTCCGAAAATATTATTATTACAAGTTATCCAAAATCGACAATATATCAATTTGACAATATTGCAGTAAAAGACAATTTGTAAAATAATTGAAATAATAAAACAATGCGTGACATAATTACATAAGAAAAACGTGACTAAACTTATATAAAAATTGGCACACAATATTTTGAAAAGTAATAGAAAAATAGATGAGATTTAATTCATTAGGATATTAAACTTTATAGCACAAGGAATCAAAACTCTGAATTGGATCGCTCAACAGAAGTTCATCTCTAACCTCACCAAGAGAACTCTAGCCTAGCTTGCAAAACATTCTCACAAGTTCTAGAGAGAAAATATGAAACTGACAGCAAGACGACATAACCTGAATATTCAAAGCTTCCAAAAACCTAAGGCTAACCCCTTTATTTATAATGTTCAGAGGTTGCTTGTCAAATAAGGAAATAAATAGTAAAACTAGAAAATTACAAAAGAAAAGGAAACAAAATAAAATTACACATAAATTAGGAGAAATCATATATTTGATTTGGGAAGAAATCTGGTAATTTGCTCTGATTTTTAGGGAAGGAATTCGGATTCAGCACAGGAGGGACACGTGTCGAAGCTTGGTTGGAGGAAGGGAACAGAGCTGCCACGTGTCGCGCGCGGAGTGGAGGAAGTCTGCTGGTGTTGGAGACAGCTGGGACCCGCTTGACAGCTGGTGCGGTTTCACTAGAAGCTCAGGCTGGCAACGCAGACGCAGGACCCATGCGGATTAAGCCTTGGACGTGCGCTGACGTTTGCGTGGAAGTTACGCGCGCGCTGAAAGGAGGCGTGCTGGTGACGCGCGCGAGGAAGAGTCAGGAAGAGAGGAAGGGCTGGGGCCCACGCGGAGGGAAAAGACAGTGGCTCAGCTCGGCTCGGCTGACGCGGCTCTCTCTGTGGCTCATGTGGCTCGGCTGAAAGGCTTAAAAATATGGCTTTCATGGCTTCTTCTTGTGTAGCTTTTTACACTGCTTTCATCAGTAAATAATTAAGCAAAAACTAGACAAATTCCAATTAAAAATATTATGAATAAAAATAATGGAATCGTTTAATTAAAGCTTAAATATTTTAATATTATATAAATCAAACGCAGCATTTAGGGTGCATTTTTATGCACTAATCAGCAGGCGAGAAGAGAGATGCGGATGGTGGTGACCAGAGCAGAGGAGTTCGATCTAGATCCAAGACTCTCGGGCGAAGAGACAGGAATGAGACCGGTTGAAGAATTGATCGAGGTCCCCATTGATGAAAATGAGCCGGCAAGAAAGCTGAGAGTAGGCTCAGAACTTGAAGAGCAAAGCCGGGAAGGACTGATAGAATTCCTCAGAAGCAACCTCGATGTGTTTGCTTGGACTCACGAAGATATGGAGGGGATAAGCCCGGACATAATATGTCACATGCTAAACATGGATGAGAAGTGTCCTCCCAAAAGGCAGAAGTGTCAACCTATGAATGACGAGAGGTATGAAGTTCTACGCGAGGAGGTCGACAAATTGATAGAAACAACTTCATCTGGGAAGTTCTGTATCCTGAGTGGGTTTCAAACCCCATATTGGGGTTAAAGCCTAGTGAAAAATGGCGAACCTATGTTGACTTCAGCGACCTAAACAAAGCCTATCCCAAGGACAGCTTTCCGCTCTCAAGGATAGATCAGCTGGTTGACGCTATAGCGGGGCATGAACTCTTGAGTTTTATGTTTCACCGCGATGAAGAACACACATCATTCATCACTGACCAGGGCCTATATTACTACAAGGTCATGCCCTTTGGCCTCAGAAATGCTGGAGCAACCTATCAACGCCTGGTCAATTGGATGTTTGCAGACCAGATAGGGAAATCGACGGAGGTGTATATAGATGATATACTGGTAAAGAGCAAGGAGTTCGAGGATCATGTGAGGGACCTCAAGAGAATGTTTGACGTACTACGAATGTATAGAATGAAGCTGAATCCCCTTAAGTGTGCGTTCAGGGTTAGCTCAGGAAAATTCTTAGGTTTTATGGTGAGCAGTCGACGAATTGAGGCTAATTCAGAGAAAATACAGGCACTATTTGACATGAAGTCACCAAGAAAACCAAAAGAGGTTGATTAACGCCCAAAAGTGATATTCACAAGCGGTCAATTGTAGCACAGAAGGGCGGTCGTATCCACAGAGAGATAACAAAATAACAAGAATGGTTAACAGAATAAGAGCGTTAGAGAAAAGTAAATTAAAGAAAAATGAGAGTTTTTGAGATTTTTATTGCAAATAAAATAAAAAGGAGAAAATCTGTATGAAGAAAACGGTAAGGTGTCGAGAATCCCTAATGCTTCGCTCACCAATTCAAGTTTTGATTCACAAAATAAAATAATCAAATAAATTAAATCTCTATGTTGGCTCAGAAAATATTATTATTACAAGTTATCTAAAATCGACAATATATCAATCTGACAATATTGCAGTAAAAGACAATTTGTAAAATAATTTGAATAACAAAACATTGCGTGACATAATTACATAAGAAAAGCGTGACTGATCTTATATAAAAATTGGCACACAATATTTTGAAAAGTAATAGAAAAATAGATGAGATTTAATTTATTCAGATGTTAAACTTTACAGCACAAGGAATCAAAACCCCAAATTGGGTCGCTCAACAGAAGTTCATCTCTAACCTCACCAAGAAAACTCTAGCCTATCTTGCAAAACATTCTCACAAGTTCTAGAGAGAAAATATGAGACTGACAGCAAGACGATAGAAAACTGAATATTCAAAGCTCTCCTAAAACCTTAGGCCAACCCCTCTATTTATAGTGTTCAGAGGTTGCCTGTCAAATAAGGAAATAAATTGTAAAACTAGAAAATTACAAAAGAAAAGGAAACAAAATAAAATTACACATAAATTAAGAGAAATCATATATTTGATTTGGGGAAGAAATCTGGTAATTTGCTCTGATTTTTGAAGGAGAAATTCGGACCCTGCACTCAGTGGACATGTGTCGCTATGGAATTGGTTGATCAAAATTGATTTGCCACGTGTCAGAATTGGAGTGGTTGCCGTGTGATGGCGATTCACAGAGCAGAGGACAGCTATTGCGCGCGGAGAAAGACTTGGGCTGGCACGCTGTCGCGCGGGACCCACGTGAGGAAGGCCTTGGACGCGCGCTGACGGACGCGTGGAAGGAACGCGCGCTCTGATAAGCCGCGTGCTGATGACGCGCGAGGCGTGAGATGGAGCGAGAGGAAAGGCACAAATTTCTGCGCTGACACGCGGGACCCACTTCATTTGGCTTGGTTGATGGGTGGCGTGGCTCTCTCTGATTGGCTCGGCTTGTGTGGCTCAGATGGGCTGAAAATATGGCTTTCATGGCTTCTTCTTGTGTAGCCTTTTACATTGCTTTCATCTGTAAATAATTAAGCAAAAACTAGACAAATTCCAATTAAAA